TCTTGATTTTTTCCCCCATTTTGTCTCTCATAGTTGAGGTATACCTATGATGAAAATTACAGGCCTCTCTCATCTTTTTAAGTGGGAGAACTTGCACAATTGGTGGCTGACTAAATACTTTTTTGCCCCACTGTATACTCAAAAGTTCATTATGTAGTTCAACTGAAATGTCTACCTTCTCCTATATAATTAATTATAATGCTAGTTTTATCCAAATGTAACCTCACATCAGTGGAACAAGCAATATTACAGAAACGTATGTGGCATAAGCACATTATCTTTCCTAAGCCAGCAATATATACTTAACACAATAATTGCCAATAGTTGTAGCCAATGGAATCACCTCCAACAGCAGACAGATTGACTATCTACTCTTTGAATCTGGTCTAGAAAGGTTGGGGATGCTCTAGAGCCGATTTGGCACATCAAATGGCAGAAGAATGTCTCCTTGCTTATATAATGTTGGATATAGCCCAACGCTAGGTCCTGATAAACTAGATCAGAATAATTCGTTTAATAATCAATATCCACACAACCTATTCTTAAACACATTTATTACAAATTAATGAAATGTCTACCTAGTTTGTGAACAGCTTTTAAAGGTCACTTAATGCTTACCTTCATTTAGAATTCTTAAAGTAACATAACGCATTATCTTGATAATACAAAATAAATTTCCTTTTAAAAAACAAATAAAAACAAAATGCATTAACTGAATTAGCTAAAATTAGTTCCAAAATTACTGGTCAAGTTAGTAACATTACAATGAAGTGTTTTAAATCATATGCAACCTTGCATTTATACAAAAACATACTCATTTATCTGTGCCAATTAAATATGCAGTGTGATTATTGTGGCAACTTAAATTAGAAATACTGATTTATATCAACTTATCACTTCTTCCAGAAAGAGCAGCTAACAGGGTACCATGCATAAATATGAATGTAATTATCAGATTCATTTTAATGTAGGGTGTACAGCAATTAAAGTTGTAACCATGGAACAGAGAATTAAAAATATATTTTCAAATAACTTAAAAGTATGACGACTCCTTATTGTGCCTACCTCGTATGAGCTCTGTTATGAGAATAAACTGAAATTAAGGTATCTGCTTAAACCAAAGAGTAACATTATCTAAAAGCCTCATAAGGACAATAGGCAAAATATAAAGATGTGTCTTAAAATGAACATTTTTTTACTTAAAATAAATGTAATTATAAAATGTTTGATTATGAGCAGAGTAAAACAGAGGAATCAGACAAGCAAACTAAAAATCAGTTTGTGAGGGATATTTTGAAGTAGTACTTTTGTAGTAGTTAACTGTAAAAGAACAACATGTCATCATATAAGGCATCTTACATCAGACGAAAATGGGGAACCTGAATTTGCCTCCATTGTCCTGTTACTGCTGAACTACAAATTTCCATTAACTTCAGCCAGCCTCTGGTGAGGAATCTGGTAACATCTGAGAGCCATAAACTGGGCCCCTACCACTAAAGGCAAAGCTCTTTATTAAAAAATCTGCTGCAATAAAATTGTAGAAACAGCAAAAGCAGCAGAATGTGAAGATGCTAATGAAGTATTATTGATCTAATACCTTAGGTTTTACTTCCACAATGTGTTTTGTAGTACATTATATCTTTACATCTCTTCTAATATAAACTTAACATACTGCTCACTATGATACGCTTGTCCATAAGAAAACTAAGCTGTGATGCTAAGTTCTTCTGAACTGCAAGAATAAGTTAAAAACAGAGTACTTGACACCAACTGAACAAAACAGTTAAGACTAACAGGAACAGAATTATGTGTTGGACTAAGGAAATACACATACAGCAACAGATAAAATATGGGTGAAAAGATTCCAGATGGGGCTGGAGTCCAAGGAAAGAAAGAAGGAAATGAAGAAGAAAGAAGTGTATAAACCATATAAGTGAATGCTTGTAAAAACCATAAAATCTTAAAGACAGAATGCAAGATGTCATTTTTGTTAAAAAGCAAAAAACAAAGAAACCAAAGAGTATAAAAGATTGTAAAACCAAGAAGAAAGGACCAACATTTAATTAAAAGAAGAAGAAAGACAAAGAAAACACAAAGCTTTTTAAGAATGACCAAGCAAACAAAAATCAAGGACATTCATTCCACCCCTTTTAACACATTTGGCTGTGTTTAAATATATGTCAGGAATTTTTAACTATTTACTATTTTATAATTCCTTTAATATTACTCAAAATGATCAAAGAAACTATATAACCAGTATTTTAATTTGCACTCTCTATAAATTCTACAAAACAAGTTTGAATAGATGGCTAGAAGGCAAAGTCTGAAGACACAATTCATCTTGAAAGTTAATAGGTCTAGTCTGGTCAGTGCCTGGATAGGAGGTCACCAATAAGCAACATATCAGCTCCAGTAAACAAAGAAAGAATATAAAATTAATAGTTAATTATATGTATCTGTTGGTTGCACTAAATGTGTTCTGCTTCTGCTACATAAAGAATAAAGCAAAGAGTTCTACACAAAACTCAAAATCACCCTTAGTCCCAACATGTCAGGAATTTATACTATTGCAGAACAAATAATCACATGCTTCTAAATTTATTTTTGCAGCCACTGAGGTCTAACAACTTATATTTAGAAAAATAAAAATGAAAGCTGTAATTTAAAGCATGCTGAATACGGTATTCCTCATCAATCCATGAATGTGCCTAGAACTGCACACTGTACAAAAGCACCAACTTTGCTGAGAATATCTTCATTTAATTATGAGGAACCATTAATTTTAAGGCTGCAACCTTCTCCTTACTTACCTGGGAATAAGTTCCACTGACCTCAATGGGGCTTACTTCTGAGTAGACATATAGAAGATTGCACTGTTAAATACAGACAATGAAACACAGCCATGATTCGCTCATCACCAGAACTCATTCCAAAGTCATAATCTTTATACACTGAACTGGAAAAATGTTGTTGTCTTTCCAGTTTAACTTGTTTCATTATTTAAAAGCAACATAATCATGAAGTGGTTTAACTTCTTTGACCAATGATTCACATACTGTTATATGGAACAGTGCACTTTCTCTTAACTTTTCTTACTCTAGCCTTCATAAAAAGAGTTAAGACTGCTGTGTTTTTTTCTGACACTTATGGAAGATGTTTGTAAAACTTCACAAGAGGGAAAACACATAAACAAGCAAAAAGCAATCAATGAGCAATCTTTGTTCACACCACCAGGATGACGATAACAACAAAAAAATGATTTCAACACAATGAGGATAACATTACAGTAAATGCAAGCCATGATCAGCAATTCCAACAGACTCTCACCTTTATCACGGTCATACAGCATGTCTTCTGTAGAACAAGGACTCCCATCCTGAGATTCAGGAGGACAAAAGGGAGAAATGCATGGAGAATGGCTGCTACAGCTGCTGCTGCGTTCCTGGACTGAAGGTGTTTGTGTATCAATGCTTCGTGTGCTGCTGCTACGATAGTGAGCAGGTAGGGGTGCTCTCCGACCATCAGGAATATCCACGGGCTACAATAAAAACACCATTATTAACACGCATAGTAAGACCTCATCCTTCCAGAGGACGTCTGAACCCTGGGGGGGACTTTGACCTGTCCTCTCTCAATGTCCTTCAAGCCAGACTTGACCTTGCAAAAGGCAGGGAAGTCAATTTCCTACAAAAGGAAGCAAGTAACCCAGTGGCATGCTGTGCATCAGTTCATAGGGCCACAAAGGGGAAGAAAATCCCAGTCACTTTAATGCACAGGCCATATTCTTAAAGAGATGTCAGGGCTTGGATGCACTTCACTAGTTAGGTTTCATGCTGAGATTTATCTGCACAATTCTCTGACAGTTTTAATAGCACTTGTATTCAAAGTCACAAAAATGTGATTAAAAAAGCAGGAAAAGTGGCACAGCTTAAAGAAACCCCTTATCACTCTAACAGTGATATAAGAACAGAATTTTTTTTCCTTAGCAAATAACACGAGAAGGTACAACAAACCTATGGTTCTGATGCTCCATATTATAGGATATAGTATGTAATAGCAGTTTTTTTAAAACTAATTTCTCTTTTGCTCAAATCAAGTATTCCTCTACGGTTTACATGATTTTTTTACAAAAAGATATTCTACTTTTTCCTAGTCTTTCATTCTCATGAAGAATCCTTCTACAAATAAATGCTGATGGCTTCAGAGTAGTCTAAACAATATACAGTCAGATCCAGAAATATTGGGACATCGACACAATTCTAACATCTTTGGCTCTATACACCACCACAATGGATTTGGAATGAAACAAACACAATGTGCG